TGCATATGTTTGTAACAGGCAAAAGGAAACGAAATAGACACATGGTTCCTTTTGAGAATATACATAGAACCACTTTCTGAATCGATTTATGCATGTCCGTCCGTCTGTCCGTCTGTCCGTCTGTAGATGTTAAATTGTAAACAAAGTACAGGTCGCATTTATAATCCGATTTGAATGAAATTTGGCACAGGCCACTTATATGGCCCAAGGACGAACCCTATTGAAATTGGGAATAATCGGTTCAGATTTAGATATAGCTCCCATATATATATTTAACCGATTTAATGTAAACGATCCCTATATATCTTTCGATTTGCACGAAATTTGGTACAGCCTAATCATTTAGGTCTAGAATGATGCGTGCCAAGTTTCGTGAAAATCGGTCCAGATTTAGATATAGCTCCCATATATAGTTTCGTCCGATTTCATTTAAATGGTGCACCAAAGTCGCTATATATCTTTCGATTTGCACGAAATTTGGCACAACGTACTGAATTGAGTCTAGAATGATGTCTGCCAAGTTTCGTGAAAATCGGTCAAGATTTAGATATAGCTCCCATATATAGTTTCGTCCGATTTCATGTAAATGGTGCACCAAAGTCCCTATATATCTTTCGATTTGCACGAAATTTGGCATAACGTATTGAAGTGAGCCTAGAATGATGTCTGCCAAGTTTCGAGAAAATTGGTCCAGATTTCTATATAGCTCCCATATAGTTTCGTCCGATTTCATGTAAATGATGCACCAAAGTCCCTATATATTTTTCGATTTGCGCGAAATTTGGCATAACGTACTGAATTGAGCCTAGAGTGATGTCTGCCAAGTTTCGAGAAAATCGGTCCAGATTTCTATATAGCTCATATATATAGTTTCGTCCGATTTCATGTAAATGATGCACCAAAGTCACTATATATCTTTCGATTTGCACGAAATTTTGCACAACGTACTGAATTGAGCCTAGAGTGATGTCTGCCTTTTTTCGTGAAAATCGGTCCAGATTTAGATATAGCTCCCTTTTATTATAGATTGATTATAAGTAATTGACGCACCAAGGATCCAATAGGCTGATAGGAACAAAACGTTCTGAAATTAGTATAACCTAACCTGTGACAACTTTGTTTGAAATCGCTTAATATTTGGATAGAGCTTCCATATATATTTTCGCCCGATTTCAAGTAAATTGGGCATCAAACTCCTCATGTTAGTCAGGTTGACATCAAAGTTTGCACAACGTACAAAATTGAGCATAGAATTACGTAGTTGCGTTTTCTAGAAGTACAGACATAGCCCAACGGATGGCCTATTTATATTTGTTTGAAGTCGATTTACATACTTTATGGATAGATCTAGGTAGATTCATATTTAGATAAATATCACATATTTTATTTCATCCAATTTCATGTTAATAGTCCTGTAGTGGTGAAGGGTATCATATAGTCGGCCCCGTCCGACTTTACTACTTTCCTTACTGGTTGTTTTTATAATTAAGAATTTCCTAAACTACCTCAATCCTACACTCCAACAGGAATTTTAATTCAAAAATTCTGGAGTCCAGCTCAATCCGTTCTCAAATAATCAAGGTGTACCAAATATAGTACAATTTAGTACACATAAGTACTATGCTTCCATATCTCAATTCTATATTCCAACAGCAACCATTATTCCAAAATTTTAGGTTTCCAGCTCTCTACGTTCACCCAAATCCTAATTGTATTAAATCTAGTGCCGTTTAGTACTTTTCGTACACATAAATAAGAATTTGCAAAGATGTCTCTATAGCTCAATCTTCAACAGTAATCTTAATTTCAAATTTCAGGATTGTACTAAATTTGGTACCATATAGTACTTTTCGTACCAATAAGTAATTACCTCAATCCTACATTCAACAGTCATTTTTTTCACAATTTGAAGGCTCCAGCTCTATCTGTTCACGTAATTCCAACATGCACCAAATTTAGTACTTTTCGTACACATAAGTACGATTTTTGACAGCTAATTCAATCTTGTGCTCCAATAGTTGTCCTGATTCCGATTTTCCAAATTCCATCTCTATACACTCAACTAAATGCAAATAGTACCAAATTTAGTACCATTTTGTACTTTTTATAACATAAGTACGAATTTTTTAAAGCATTTCCATATATCAACACCACTTCCCAACCTGTATTCCATATAAAATTTCAAGATTATAGCTATATATGTTCAATATTTTTAATATATATAAAATTAGAACTAAATTTAGTAATTTTTAGTACTTTTAGTACACTAATAGGTCGGTTCCAAAAACCCTTTTGTACATTTTTCTAACTTTCCATCAGTGACCCACATTTCAAATTTCAGAATTCTAGCTCTTCCCGTTCGCCTAATACATAAGGTACCATTTTTGGTACATTTTAATACTTTTCGTACCGTTCTAGTTCGAATTTCCAAAAACCTAGCCTTATCTCACGCCTACACACCAACAACAACCCACACTCAAAATTTCAAGCTTCTAGCTTTTGCCGTTTCGTCTGGGCGATGATCTGTCAGTCAGTCACTCACTCACTCACTTAACACTAAGCTCTTTTATATATATAGATTTGTGGTACAGTATATATAGTATGGTGGTACAGTACCCTAAACAATGGATCTATACATCCTAGGAATAGAAAATAATTATATTACCAAATCCCAATATAGTAGACCCTGTGGAATATATTGCCATCAAATATCATACATTTTTCACATTACCTCTTCCGATAAATATACCATTACTGGGCATTAAAATCCCTCAACTGTACAACTCCACTTCTAATTTAATGCGGTTTTTTACCGTTACATTTTCTTCTTCTTCGAAGTACCAAAACAATAAATGCATTCTCAGCTGCCTTTGTTGTCTTTTCATAATGTCCATTTCCTTCCACATATTCCTTTGAGGCATACAATGAAGAATGTGCGTGTGAAGAAAATTTTATATTCTATATTTTCCATTAAGGATGGTCTCTATTTGTTTTTGTTCTTCTTTGTATTTTTGTTTCTTTTATTTTTACCATTGCCGCCAACCGACCAACCAACATGACCATTCTCATATTCCACAATCTGTACTTAAAATCTCTTTCTTAGGATTTTCTTCTTAATGTCGTTGCCGTCAGAATGGTCATAGTTTTTGCTTTAGGTTAGGTTGTCTTTTTTTCACCTCTCATCCTTATTTTTCTTAATTTCATTTGGGTTATTTTATTGAAAGAACGAACACGTGTGTGTAGTTACGTTCATGTGTGTGTGTGTTTTTTGGTTGCGGCTGCAGTTTTTATTATTACGCTTGCAAGTGCATTATACTTTAATTATGTTAAAAGCTTTCATTACTTCGTTCTTTTGGTTGTTGGTTGGTATTCTACTAAATTTTGTTCGCCAGCTCGCTCGATTTTTTTTTTGTGACTTCTTTTTTTGGTTTCTCACATAAAAGTTCTTTAAACTTTATGGAAGTGGGCTAAAGGAAATAAAATTTAGATATCTTCTTAAAAATTGTTTTGCTGTGGTTTTGTTTGATCTTCTAGCAATAGGTAGAACAATTCATGGAAATCCAATTTATAAGAAAGTTGATATAAGAGAAGAATAAAAGAATATGGAAAGGGATTTTTCCCAAAAATGTCTTATATTCCCCAAATTGGCTGGAACCATTAAAATAAAATAAATAAAGGGCTCGTCTTTATATAAGGGTTATATCAAACATAGACCGATATTAAACAGTTGCTGCCTTCGCAAGTACGTGCACCCCAGATAAACACCATTAGGCAGGTCGTAAAACCTAAAAATTGTCACTTTGTATACACCAATATTATATTGTATAACATAATCATATTGTATTGATTTGATTACACAATTAGATAATCGTAATTCTCTCTTCCATAATTTTCACTTACAAAAATGACAAATGACAATTTAGACATTTATATTGGAAAAGAGAAAAGGCTATATCAAGACCGATATATCCCATTTTTATCATTATTTGATTAGTTACACTATATGTGCGAAATATCAAACTCTATTGTGATTTATACTCCCAAAAAAATGTGTGTGGAAGACCATAAATTTCCAAGCACACCAGCACGCAATTATCACAAAAAACACTAACGGATCATCAGGTCCCAAGTAAGCTTGGACCACATGTGTTACAACTAATTTGATGGCGATACAGGTTTGTTCAAACGGCTGTCATCTAGCTGGACAGAAATTTTTAATATCGAAAGTTTCCTATCAAGACAATCAGATTTCATATGAAAAATAACGAAGATATTGTGTGGTTCCATTTTTAAAATTCCACAAAGTTCCAACATTTATTCAAGGTACTGTACTGGTTTCAACATTTATTCAAGGTACTGTACTGGTGATAAATACATCTCAACTCGTCGAATTCGAAGTGAACAAACATTGAATGCACACACATCTCTGCAAATAACCAAATAACGTACGCGAAAATCGTATTATTGAAACTATATACACTTATTATAATTGTAAAAAAATATTGCAGTTTTATAGTTTTATTAATTTTTCTTATCAAAAATCCACATAGACTACCCCTGCTGCTGCTTGTCTCTGTGATAAGACAACTTCATTCAGAAATTACGCGTGAAGCATGCCAATGAACGCCATATTGATTTAGTTCTACTTGCCTTACTCAATAGATATTGGTGGCACTTATTACCGGTAAGTCATTTTGTGTGCACACGACATTGTTTTTTTCTGTGTCGTCTTTACTAATACGACATCACTCATAAACACAAAGTGATTACTTTAAATAAAAAACAACTCGTATCAATTCAATTGGTATTACAACAAAAGAAAAACACAACTAGATAAAAAATATAAAAACAACAAATTTGTTATGGCGATTGGCGTAGTTCACGCACCAAATGGAAAAAAATATCTTAGTCTACCCCTTTCTAGGCACGTTTCAACGTGTCTTTGTAACACATTTACTACTCTAAACTAAATTAAGTTTTTGATGTTTTTAGAATTTGTGTTTCTTTTTTAATATCACTCTTCATCTTTTATGCAATTCTCCACTAATTTCCTTAAATTGGGATTTTCCATTGCCGCTGCGATTCTTTCTTTGTCATTAATTTGTTTATTAACTGCAAGAAAATACAAAACATAAATAATATTTCAAATCGCTAATCTCTAGTCTATACTACTTACTTTCTTCTTCGGTGTTGTGTGTGCCCTTTTTAATGAAAATGTCCAACTTAATGTTGTGCGGCAGACTTCTTTCCACCTTGATTCGTATACACAAGCCAATCAGTGTGGCCAAGGAACAATGGGGAACTGTGGGATTGAATTCAATGCGAACCTAAATGAAGAAAAATAATCAATTATTGCAATATATTCAATATATGAAAAAATGTTTTTGAACGAAAATATTATTACAGGCTTGGAAAGCTTATAACTCCATTTTGGTCGATGAATAAATAAACAGTTTAAAACATGTTACCATCCGCCTTAGACAATAGGATTATAAAAGATCACTGAAATCCAAGACCGTAAACGTTTTTCTATATGTGGGTCTATATTGATACTCGATTTTGATAAAAAGAAAAGTAAATTTATACCCCAAAGCCTACCTCATGTGGTATAAATACTACATCAACCCGGCACTTATCTTCAACATGTTCCCATGATTTTTCTTCAAGTGATTTTCCATGTATTTTTCAAATCGAAATGATCATCGAAAAATTACCCCAAAACTTACCACTGAAACTTTCGATTTGGTAGATGGCATTACAAATATACCATCTTCATAAATTACATTTAAATCTTCCAATGTAGCAGGTTTCTCTGGATCTCTTATTGTTCTCAAACAATCTACAACACAAAAGAATAAAATATATATTATTCATGAATAACACCAGTCACTGCATAACTTACCATAGACAGTCTCTTGTAAGTCTGTGGCATTTTTATAGCCCAATTCCTGCAGCAAGGCATCTTCACCCACATCAATGGTCTCATTTGAATTCAAAGACATTTCTGACGTTTTACTGGCCAACTGGTCTTCCGCTATGGCGGCGTTCGAATTCGTTGTGGAATCCGATTCAGACAATTTACGTTTTATAAAGGCCAACATAGTATTTAAGTAACAAAATTGTTGCAGCAATGTGGCGAGGTATTTCTTATCAGGGAATCGATATTTTGCCTGTAGTCTTTTGTATTATCTATTATCCAACTTTTGACGTAGCAATTGCACCAATATTTACCCAATTGTGTATTCGGTATGTGATGTATTTGTTCTCTATACCTATTGTATAATTAATTAAAAACAATTGAATATTTATAAATTTTTGTTATTTAAATACCTAAATACTTACTACCACTCAGCTGATGTGGTTTATTTAATTTTACAATGGCATGAGGCGAATTTAGCATAAAGAAACAGCTGTTTTTTCAGAACAGATGTTGTCGAGGCGAAAAAAGTTGATTGTTTTAACGGAAATTGTCCAAGCGAATTTATATATTGTCAAAGCTGTTAATATATGTTATTTTAATAAAAACTAAATCAAATATATATTTTAATTGAAGTTTAAAGCAGCTGTTTTGTTTATGGGCATAATGTCTATTGGTAACACTGGGTGACACACAAGATTTCATTGTTTAGAATGTGCATGTTAAAGAAAACTATCAATAAGAATAAAGATGAAAGGAATGTTCACAGACTTCGTCTTGGATTATATTGTTACGTTCTTGGATTTCACTTAAATCCCGTGTAGACGTTGTTTTATTTCCCGATACAATTCGTACCAAATAAAACGCAGGTTCTTTCGGATTACGATTATTACAATGATTTTATTCACACAACTTTACTTTGCACTTTACTTTACACGACGGTTTCAATTCGCGATCTGATTCACAACTGACTCACTGCCTTTCCATTCCCTCTATTTATATGAGCCCTGCCTGTCGCTACAGAAGTTTCTAGACGATCTGGTAACACCTAGATCACGAACAATCTAGCAATGCAACAAACACATTGAGTAACAATAACAACAAACTTACTGAGTGAACAATAACAACAACAAACTTGAGTAAACAAACTTACAATAACAACAACACATATACAGGCGAGGGAATAACAAAGAAAGAGGAATAACAACAACACATATACAGGCGAGGGAATAACAAAGAAAGAGGAATGACGTTTAACAAGAATTGTACGACAATAACAAAATAGAAAATGAAAGAGGAAATGGAAGGATGTAGAAAAATCTATACAGTGGTTGTTGTTGTGAAGTTATTCAAATAAACTGCGTTGTAGAAATTTACGTTACAATTCAAATTCTTAAATTAACGGAATTCATCTAAATTAACTTAAATCTAAAGTTATATTCGTAACATTGCCCCCCGCTTAAGCCTGTTCGTCCCGAATAGGCACAGTTCCCGTTCCGTAGGGGGTCAGCCGCTCCAAATGTACAACTTTCATCTTCGACCTGGGACTGTCGCTCCTCTGGATGCGATAAACGACGTCATTTATTTTCGTGACAATCTTGTAGGGTCCTTCCCAGTGCGTTTGCAATTTGGGGCATAGTCCTTTCTTTCGTTGTGGGTTGAACAATAGTACCAGTTGCCCTTCTTGAAACCCATCGGTATTTGCCGCTCGATCGTACCTTGCCTTCATGCGGTTGCTAACCATTTTTATTCGATGTCGGACTGCATCGTGGACTTTACTAAAAGAGTTTTGGCTGTCTTCATCTTGGTTCACATCGTCGTTTGGGGTAGCGCCGAATATCAAATCGCCAGGTAGCTTTAATTCATTTCCGAACAGAACTTTGGCTGGGGTCCGGGATGTGGAATCATGAATGGCCGATCTATAAGCCAATAAAAACTTTGGAATATGCTCATCCCAGTCTCGTTGGCCACTGTCCACCACTTTCCGTAGATGTTCTTCAAGGGTGCGATTGAATCTTTCCACCATGCCATCTGATTGTGGATGTAGGGGCGTCGTTCTGGTTTTCCTAATTCCGTAGGAGTCACACATTTCCTTGAAGATCGCTGATTCAAAATTCCTACCTTGATCGGAATGAACCTCAGATGGAACACCATAGCGACAAATCCAATTTTTGCTGAACACATCCACAATTGTCCTGGCTTCTTGATTTGGGATAGCATAAACCTCCGGCCATTTACTGAAGTAATCCATGACCACTAAGACATACCGGTTCCCAGAGTCGCTTGTGGGGAACGGCCCAGCTACATCCATTGCGATTCTTTCAAAAGGGGCTCCTGAATTATACTGCTGCATGTAGCCTCGACTCTTCCGTGTTGGACCTTTAGCTTTTATGCACCTTTCACAATTGGCGATCCAGTCGGCAATGGATTTTTGACAGCCGACCCAGTAGAATCTCTGCTTTACCTTTTCAGCGGTCTTTGCTATGCCAAGATGTCCTCCACTTGGCCCATCGTGAAACTCCGACAAGACATCTCTTATTTTGGAGTCTGGGACGACGATCAAGTTCCGGTGAGATTTACCGTCCTCACTTTCCCATTTGCGATATAGGCAGCCATCTTTTATAAGTAAACTGTCCCACTGGGCCCAATAGGATTTTAAAAGAGGGCTTTCGGAGGTAATTTCTTTGCGACTAGGTCGCTTGCCCGTTTCTATGGCCGAAATTACTTTGCCCAGAATGGGATCTCTTCGTTGTTCCGTCGACCAATCTTCACCCGACTCAAACTGCAATCGTCGGACATCAACGATATTCTCTTTGCACTCCGCCTTTGAGCAGTGCCTGTATTCTACCTTGCATGGCCGACGAGACAGGGAATCAGCATTACCGTGTTTTCCGCCTTCTCTGTGCTTGATTCTGTTTAACGGTGACTCATCGGTGGGCTGTTGAGCCATTCTTCTACCATCTTTCGTTGGAGGTGGTGACGATGACCTGGATCGTTTGCGCTTAGCTCTGCATTCGCGCGCAATATGACCTGCTTTATCGCAGTTGTAGCATCTAACCCTGGGCTTAGTCATCCCTACTAACTTTGTTTCTTCTATTACCTGCTTCATGGCGTCCTTGATCGAGTTAACGAGAGATTTGGGTTCGCAACCTTCGGTCTCCAGTTGGCGAATCTTGTGGGTCTGGGGCTTAACAATTATTCTTGCCGTCTCTTGGGCAAGGGCAAACGACACAGTTTCGGCAAACGACGCTTTTGGTGACGCATATGTTGCACATTTAATCTCAGGGTCACGTATGCCATTCACAAAGGTTTCGATTTTCATACGGTCCAGCAATGGGTGATTCTCTCCTGGATACGCCATTAGCACCAAACGTTCCACCTCAGCTGCAAAGTCTTGTAGCGTCTCGTTTGCCCTCTGTACTTTTCCCCTTAGTTCCATAAGGTAGATGTTTTGTTTATGTTCGCCACCGTACTTACGTTCCAGTGCAGCAATAACATCTTCATAGTTGCTTCTAGAAGCGACAGGAATACTCTGTATAACATCCGCAGCACTGCCCTTCAATGCCAGAAGTAGTGCAACCGCTTTGTCGCTGTCGTTCCACGAATTTCTAGAAGCCACTGTCTCGAACTGTAACTTGAAAACATTGAATGACGTAGAGCCGTCGAATACAGGAGGTTTGATTTTTAATGTGTTATCAGGAGCTCGCACCGGACCACCTTTAATTTCCAGTTCCGAAATTTTCTTCTCCAGATTCGTAAACCTGTGGTCGTGGGCCAGAAATTTCTCATCCACAGACAGAATCTTCTCGTCAACCGACTGCACTTTCTGATCCAACTCTTTAATTTGGATCTCCACGGTTTCCACTCTCCTTCCAATAACTTCTGTAATGTTTTCGAGTTTCTCGTTCATTACTCTCGAATTTTCGTCAAACATTCTACAATTCTCTGCCTTGAGTTCATCTAACTTTCTGGAATTCTCTTCGAACATACGTCTCGTGTTTTCTTCTAACTTTCTGGAATTCTCTTCGCTTCTTCTGGAATTTTCCTCAAACTTTCTGGCATTCTCTTCGAACATTCTAGCCAGCATTTCTCTCAAATCGTCAACCCTGGCAGCTACTGACGAGACTTCCCCACCGTTGGATTCGCCCATTTCCGATAAATCCACTTCATCCTTGCTGTCAAACTCATATGTATCGATGTTCATACCACGGCGCTCGAACTCATCCAACAGACGTTTTTGTAGCTCAGCCTTGTTGCCAGTAGAGGACAATTCCAATTTATTGAGCTCCTTCTTCAAGTCTTCCACTCGTAGATCCTTAAACTTCATCGTAGTATTATCGTAATCCCACTTCTGACACCAATTGTTACGTTCTTGGATTTCACTTAAATCCCGTGTAGACGTTGTTTTATTTCCCGATACAATTCGTACCAAATAAAACGCAGGTTCTTTCGGATTACGATTATTACAATGATTTTATTCACACAACTTTACTTTGCACTTTACTTTACACGACGGTTTCAATTCGCGATCTGATTCACAACTGACTCACTGCCTTTCCATTCCCTCTATTTATATGAGCCCTGCCTGTCGCTACAGAAGTTTCTAGACGATCTGGTAACACCTAGATCACGAACAATCTAGCAATGCAACAAACACATTGAGTAACAATAACAACAAACTTACTGAGTGAACAATAACAACAACAAACTTGAGTAAACAAACTTACAATAACAACAACACATATACAGGCGAGGGAATAACAAAGAAAGAGGAATAACAACAACACATATACAGGCGAGGGAATAACAAAGAAAGAGGAATGACGTTTAACAAGAATTGTACGACAATAACAAAATAGAAAATGAAAGAGGAAATGGAAGGATGTAGAAAAATCTATACAGTGGTTGTTGTTGTGAAGTTATTCAAATAAACTGCGTTGTAGAAATTTACGTTACAATTCAAATTCTTAAATTAACGGAATTCATCTAAATTAACTTAAATCTAAAGTTATATTCGTAACAATATGATTGATTAAATAAAGAAATAAGAACGGTATAAAATAGATAAATTTATATGCTCCGAAATATTTGTAAAATGTTAAATAACAAAATATTAATAGAATAATTAATAAATATCTAAAAAAATGAATTGAATCCGAATTTTTAAATTTAATTAAAAAAATTGTTTCTCATGAGTACGTACTAAAATCTACCTATAACGGTATTAATCAGTATTTTTATAATATTCTTGTCACGGTTTTAGGAAGAAAATCTAGTATTCAAATATCTGATTCAAAAGATGTCACATAAACGGAACAACTTGTGACAGTATTTGCACCTCTTCAACTACTAAACTCATATATCACCGTATTCACTGTGGACGCAACCCGTTCAAGTTGCAATATTCTTGGAGGTAGAAGAAACAGAACCAGTTAATGAATGACACCCCGCATGTATTCTGTTGCTACAACAACAACAAAAACTTGTAACAATTGTTTTTATTTAATATTTGAAATTTACGTATACAGTTTAATAGTGTACCTTTTCGAAATAGATCAGTATCAAACCTGTTTTAGACAAACTTGTTATAGTCTAAACCAGTGAGATAAATTTAGTTTAGTTTATTTTTATTTAGTGATATTTTTTCCAAACCTAGATTAAACTCGAAGCATAGTATCGGATCCGCCTATTATACCAAGATCATCGATGCGAAATTGGCGCACCTAAGAAAGACATACTCAATTTAATTAGGAAAACCGAACCTATCCGTCTATGGCAAGGGATGATTCGCCCTTGACAGGAGAGGATGACTTCCCCAACTCAAGGAGAATCAAATGACAAACCGATGCTACCGAAGTAGATGTTAGTGCCAATGATCTTTTAATTGAAGCAATGTTTTCACTTGTTAATAAATTTAAACGTTTTAATTTTATTTGATAATAAAATACGGCCCTTGGCCCAGCGAAACTGATGTTTAAATATTTCAACATCAATTAGTTTTGTTTTGTAAAAATGCTAAAAAGTGCACAAATGTACTAAAAACATATATTTTCTCATCTCTGATCATGACAGCAGTCAAGTGGTTACAAATGCAACCCTGTCAATTCACACTCTTATCAGAGTACAGAGTCAATACGACGTTGTCATTGAATAAGAAGTGTTGCTGCAATCGTGGTTGTTTATTTCTAGAACAAATTTCAACGGGATTTTTTCGGTTAAAATAATTAAAATTAATCAAAAGATAAAGAAAGTTTATGAGAAAAGGACAAAAACAAAGAGTATTCAAAGCAACATAGATTTCATCAAAGACTAAAAGGAGTGACAAGCAGTTGTTGCGGTAATAAAACCACATTTTTCCGTAAGTAATATAAACTGTTGACTCCCCCACTTGAACCGACCGACCGTTCGTTCGAACGACGACCAACCACATCATATGAGCGAGATTGATCCATGCAAAAACGCAAACGGTCAGGCAAATAAATAAAATTGCTACGTAAGGAAGAAAACCAGCAAGTCAACATATTTTTAAACGCCGCAACCAAGTCGAACGATAATAAAAACCATAGAGAGAGAAATGCCCCAGCATATCCTATGAAAATAGCTTGCTTAAAGCAGTGGGATGTGGGTGTTTTTCCACATGCAGAAATATCAACACATTTTCTTTGCCCTGTTTTGTAGTTTGCATAAAAACTACTTGTCTTGAATTATAACTATTTATTTGAGTCATAACAAAATAGGCTATGGAAATGTGCATTTATTTTTCTCTGCCACTTCAAAAATTCATTTGAAATTAGAAATTGAAAGCGTCTCCATCGTTTGAAACGTTGAAAAAGCAAGAAATAGTTTTTTTCTTTTGTTTGCGAATTGTTTCCGCGTGCCACCAACCGAAGATAAATGAAATCGAAATTGTCGACTTAAATGCAGAATTAATTTTAGTACATGGACTGAAGAAACAAGAAAGAAGGAGCTGTTGTGTGCAATTTTGGATTTCCCTCATTTACAATTTACTACCGGTATTTGTTAACCACAATTGGTGGATAGTTTCCACTCAAAAGAGAAACTTACGAGAAAACAAAACATTCCATTGGAATATCCTCTCCCTCTCTCTGTTTGAAATAGCTTAAAATCATGTGTTTGAAACGAGATAGCGTAAGTTGTAATATTCTTTTCAAATTTGCATATATTTTATCCCTTTTTGTTTAATTACTTTATTGTTGTCTTCTTGGAAATATTCCGTTATTGCTTTTAGTTCCAAAATTGCATATCATCACCTAGGTGAATAGTTGTGATCTTCATTTTCGTAAATTTATTTGTAAAACCTACAAGTATTGCATAAGACCTTTTTGCTGGTTCAAAATAGGATCTTTTCCAATTCTATTTAAAATTTTTATTTTAATAAAAAAAATTTCGTGAATAATTTATATTCACATTCGATAATTTGTGAAAAGTAATTTATAAATAATAAATATTATTGGTAAGTTTATATTTGAAAAAATAATTGAAATCAAATACAAAATGGAGATTGTGAGTTCATAAAATATTGGAATGAGATTTGAACTAAATTTTTCTTTTGTTTTTAATTTTCTAAGGCTGATAAAACAAGAGGTTCTTGCTTTAAAATTTAATATTTTATATTTACACCTAAATATTTTATTGTTAATTGAATCTGCGAGAGTATGGAAGATATTACAAAATTGTGATAAAACATACTACCAACTTATTTATTTGATTTTCTTAGATTGCAACAATAAACTGCATTGACGTGTTTTTTTTTTAATTTTACAGAAAAAAATAATTTATAAAATATTTTAAAAAGTTCTAATTAAAAAAAATTGAGTATACCTATTTATATTAATTTAAAAATAGTTTATCCTTCGCGTTTTTGAATGATCCCATGTCTATGCCTGAAGACCACTCTCTGGCATAAGCAGAAGTTATAAGCTAAGTAATTATCGGACTACAGAAGCTCACACTGCATTATAATTATATAATTATAATATATTGCCTTCTCTCTACAAGCTATGTATTTCTGAAGTCAGGAGAATGTGCACTATAGAGTGATAAATTTCAAGGTTCCATATTGTAACAAAAAATTAATGGGTCATGTTTCAAATCATTTTTATATTATTTGGCATTTATTTTTGAAGGTTATGTCTATTTAATTTTTAATGAATCCAAACTACTTTATACGCATGAAAAAAAATTTGTTTGTAAGTATAGGGCCCCGTCGAGGGCATTTTTTACATTCTTAACACATATAGTCCTTGCAGAAATCCATACTCCCTAAGATATTAGCCCACAAAGTCTTAACGGTCTTAATCCTGATTATAAAAATGTATTTTTTTGTGAAGTCCATTCTTTGATATGGGATTCCGAAATTGCCCTGATTACAAAAATATAATATTCTTATCAAATAAGTTCACACATTCCTTACACCAGGCCTTACACCAGACGTATGCCGAAAATTTTTTAATTTGTTAATAATGAGAGCTATGCAACAACTTTTCCTGCCGGAATTTTCTTTGAGAATCTCAAATTTTTATTGGAAATGTGACAATTACTGTTAACAAAAATGAAATAGGACGTAATTTTTGTTAAACCTATTTTTTAAATTTTCTAAGAGGCCAAATTAAAACTACCCTTAAAAATAGTGATGATATCTAAAATATTGTGAAATCCTCTTTAGACTTAAAATTTTACTCCGATCTGATTTTGCTCTGATATACTTTATAGGTTCCATAAGGCAGAGGGTGTAATTACTGAAATTTTGTATATACTTCTGCTGATGCATTACAGATGAAAACATCCTTTTAAAACAATTTATTTAAGTAAAAAATCGACTACTGGTGGACTATACATGTCCCTTATAGAAATATTTCTAATTTTTTATATTTATCTTCTAATAAAAGTTAAGAAGCTATTTCGTAAAATTCCATCGCAAATTTCTTATATCGGAATGTGCGAATTCAGTGGCATTGCTAAAACCGCTTATTTAAAACTTCTATAATAAACAAAGAAAAAAATATGGCAATTCCGAAAATCCCATTATCGCCTTTGGTATTGATATTGTAAACATGGGCTTCCCCATTTTCATCGAATGTTTTGTGTTTTTATCAGATTAATATTTAATTGACGGTATCAATTTTTCAGTTCTGTTGGTCTTACTACTCAAATTACTTAAATAGGTTCTCTGCCTTTGTGTAAACATTTTTCATTTTGCCTTACAAAGCAAAACACCCTTTTCGAGCTAACCAACGCTAATAACTCTCTGGTTTGGTCGCGTTTTGAGATCAACAAAAAATTATTAATAAGCACAAACTGTAAAATCCATAAAAATCATTTGAAACGGCGATAAGAGCAACAGTATTTTTTTGCACGACAATTTATTCACAAGTAAACGAAGGAACAACAAAGTTGGTCATCGGTGAGTTGTGCTCGCTCAGTGCTCTGGTGGATCAATTTCTATATTTCTTGTGGTTGTTGTCACAATTTTTGAAATTATTTCCATATTTTTATGATCTTTATGTGTTACTAATTTTTTTGTTTTTATTTTCTTTCCAGTTAATACTTTTTTAAAAATAACAGAACACATAGCTATTGAGTGTTTTGAAAGAAATTGCATTTGAAAAAGAGTAATTAATTTTGTTTCAACAAAAGAATTAACAAAATGGTCGCTTCATCTACAACACCAACAACAACAAATACAGCAGCGGCGACAACACCGCAACAAAACGGTGCTGAAACTGCTGTTGCTGCCACAACAAATGCCAACAACACCAACAATGTCACAACACCCCTACCAAAGGGCAAATACACTTTAGTTGGCATTGACATCGACACTACCGGACGCAGATTAATTGACGAGGTAAGTTTTTCCGTTCCTCCTCCAGTATACTATAATAGAATTAATGAAAATTATCTGTGTGAGTGTGTGCGAGTAATGTGCTCAGTGATCATTAATGCTAAATATTGCTCATTGGATTGTGTTTTTTAGTTCAGTGAGAACCAATTTAAAAAATTGGTTCTCACTGAAAAAGTCACGTTTTTGTTAGTTGTGTGCATTTTTTAATTGTATTTTGCTTTTCTTTATATTCATAAAGAAATTTTGATTTTTATAATAGCTTTTAGTAACGGAAATTGTCATAAGCTAAGAATAATATGCTTTGGGGATTCTAGAGTACCATGCCTTCGCGAAGAAGGAAGGGTTCACTTCATTCAAATATCTGATAATTGAAATCGACATTTTTAACGGGGAGCCGTATTTCTAATCATTAAGTAAGCGTATGAACTAGAATTGTTAAGTTCGCAGATCTTAGTATATCGGCTTCCAGAATTTCACTTGAGCCCGTATATAGCTACCAAAATCGGCTACAGTATCTAATTTAAAAATAATATTTTTTGAGGGTCTTTAAATAAATGCGTTGATGCTAATTAAATTAATATATTTTGACTAACTGCCTCATGTCTCGATTTAAAAAAAAATGGGGATTCCCCGCAATAGTCTCATTTCTAACGGGGAGCCGTATTTCTAATCATTAAGTAAGCGTATGAACTAGAATTGTTAAGTTCGCAGATCTTAGTATATCGGCTTCCAGAATTTCACTTGAGCCCGTATATAGCTACCAAAATCGGCTACAGTATCTAATTTAAAAATAATATTTTTTGAGGGTCTTTAAATAAATGCGTTGATGCTAATTAAATTAATATATTTTGACTAACTGCCTCATGTCTCGATTTAAAAAAAAAAAATGGGGATTCCCCGCAATAGTCTCATGACCTCACATTGTTAGTAGATTTGATGTCTACAACATTTTATTGATGCCATAAAATTGTATATTTTCCTTCTTTCAGATTGTTCAGCTGGCTGCCTATACTCCCATAGATCATTTTGAACAGTATATTATGCCATATATGAATTTAAATCCAGCTGCTCGTCAACGTCATCAAGTTCGTGTAATTTCCATTGGTTTCTATCGCATGCTCAAGTCAATGCAGACATACAAGGTAATTAAATGAGAGTTTTTTTTTGACAATTGTCGTCTTACTGAAATTTCCTCTATTGTTTTACAGATTATTAAATCAAAATCGGAAATCGCTGCTCTTAAAGATTTTCTCGCATGGCTCGAAGCTTTGAAAGCCAAAGATGCCACATCGCAAGGTATTATTCTATTGTATCATGAAGAGCGTAAATTCATTCCATATATGATTTTGGAATCGCTTAAAAAATATAACCTGCTGGACAGGTTTTTATTTACTGTTAAGTCATTCGCTAACGGTCTCAATTTGGCCAAGGCCAATGCCAATGAGTCCCTGCAACATTATACGCTACGAAAACTATCGAAGTTTTTGAAATCCAATGCCGTCAATAATGTTGAACTCAACAATAATAATGTAGCATCGTCCACCACAGAAGGTGCAGCTGCTGCTGCCAAAGATCAGCAGCTGCAGCAGCAACAACAACAACAAAAGACTAACAAGTCTAGTCAAAATAACAACAATGAACGTGAATTATTTGATGGAAGTGCCAGTGTGCGTGCCAAATTAGCCTATGAAGTTGCTTTGCATTTAAGTAATCAAGACTCCAAAGAAGATCTCGATTCACAAAATGCTCTCGATAAATTGTTAACGGCCATTAATCCTTATGCCCAAACCATTCAGTGTGATTTGGACGAATTACAAACACAAAACGAAAATCTGGAACGTCAAAATTCATTCCGTCCAGTATTTTTGAACTATTTTAAGTCAATACTTTACAATCGTGTGCGTGCTGTTAAATTCCGTATCATCTTGGCCGAACATGGTTATGATTTGCAAACTCTCAACGCCATTTGGACCGAGAAGAAACGTGATGGCCTTGTTGAAGTTTTGCAGGCCATTGAAGAGCTCAAGGATGAGGATAAAACAGAATTGGCTGATTTGTTTGATAGTTATTATGATCCAGCCAAGACGACTATTAAACCGATTGTTAAACCACTCAATCGTTCTCGTAATAGGCGTGGTAAGTAGATATTTTTTTGTTTTCCTTTTTTTCTTTTGTATTTTAATTTTATTTTATCTGAATTTTTGACATAAGAGGAAGAAAATATGAATTAATACTAGAATACTACAAGTAATTGTGGGCCTAAGAAATTTAACTGAACTCCGAGGGTCTTAAAACTAAATACATATATATATATATATATATATATTTTATTAGCATGAATATTTTTTTCTGGTTGAAAAATTTGGGTTTAACTTTCCGAGTGCCGAACCATGAGGCACTCTTATAAACACGCATAAATTTCTGTTAAAATTTAAAATTAGCGTAACACCAGTGTTTCTTTTTTAATTTTAGATTGTCATTGAATTTTAGATTCTAAATAATTTTTATATCAACATACACATGATTCATAATTAGTATACCGATTATGAATTTTAAATATTCATTCTGCGGTTTCAAAGCCGACTTTATAAATAATGAGACGGCGGTTTTTGAATATAAATACAAATTTGGAAATATGCATATTGTAGTTCCTAAAATAGGACTTCTTAGATTTTTTAAATTAACTAATTGTTTTAATAAAATCATTTAATAACAATTATCCTTAGCAATTTATAAAATATTTCAAAATTAATCCCTGGTTTCGTTTTTTTCCACAGTACGCAACAATGTTAGAAACGATGGTAAAGTAGCTCCTCTTGCTGCAAATGGTGCTCCTGTGGAGCAAGGTGCCGGTGGTGATAAACAACAAGCTAGTGGTGGTAATAATGCTAATTTGCCCGATTCCACAACAAAATCACCTAAAAATCGTGGCAAACGTAATCAGCGTTCTACTCAAAAGAACAATAACAACAACAATAACAATAGCACAAATAACAACAATGTGTTAATAAAAACAGAAACTCCAGTGGCAAATGATACTCCCACTGCAGCCGATGCAAATCAACAACAACAACAAACCAACAATGCAACTACTACGGCTCCAGTGGCTGTAGCGGCTTCAAATTAATTACAACAGCAAATGAAATACAACAAAATCAAAATATATATCAAAAGCCAGCCATTCAGCCACTAGAACAGAAGTGGAATTCTAGCCAACACTTTTTTTTCAAATCAATTAAATGCCATGCCCTAAATGTTGCTGCAACAGAGTTAACACAGAGTAAACCCAAATATGTAACTACATTATTATTCATAATTTTTATTTAAATATAGTTTTGTTAACTAACTTTAACTACAAATTGTTGTAGTTGTAGTAAATTATTATTTTTTATTAATTTTTAATTTTTTTTTTTTTATTATAATATTGTTAATTGCTTAAAAAAAAAAAAAAAAAAAAAAAACTACAAACATTGTCATTATATGATGCTGCTTAAAAACAAAAAACGACAAAGCGTTTTTCGTTAAGTGCCTTAAATTGTTTATATTATTAAATTTTCATTCAGTTGCTAAAATTTGTTTAAACAAAATGAAAAAAAAACTTGAGGAAATTTGAAATAATTTACCTTTAATTAATTTGATTTTCTTATTATTTTTTTGTCATTCTCTTAAATTTTAATTTGAATTTGATTTTCCTTTTTTTCTTAGAAGTATAAAACACACAAATTAAACATTTCAACCAAAAAACAAAAGATAAACAAATGAATTTTTAAAATCCAATTGGAAAATAGAAGCAAATGTTTAATTTGGTTACAAATAAAATTGAAATAGAATAAATGTAGATCGGAAGAGAAGACAAAGCAAAATATTTAGATTTGTTTCTAAACAATTGAATTTCTTTTTCAGGCCTATTTTTGTTGCCAATAGCATTTTTTATATTACAAACCATACAACATTTCTAGATATTTTGTTTTATTCCAGAGACGACTGATCACAAAAAATTACAGTAGTATATTTAATAAAACAACAACACTATTTTCATACTATGTACTATACATTTATATACATTTAGAAAAAAACATATTTATATTACACACTTCTCCACCATACAAACACACACATATATATTACATACAACAACCAACCATATATCTATTTTAACTGAGAATAATAAGAAATCTTTTACAACTATTTTTTGATTGAATATTTAAATAATAATAAAAATTAAAAAAAAAAACAATTTATATATAAATATGTGTTTTTATTAACGATTGTTGTACTTTTTTCCAGCACCCATACAAATGAATTCTCGAAGAAACAATTCTAAAAACTGAATTCCCAACAATATGGAATCAAATATTTTTCATTGATTTTTCAAATGGAGCAATATTGAGATTTTGCAAAATTCAAAACAAAATTAATTTCTGTTAATTATAAACTTGTTTTCTCATTTGTTGTTATAAATTATATTTCATTTTAATTGTGTAAACTTTTTATAACTTGATTCGTTGTGTATAAATATATACATTATATAAATTTAAAAATGTAGTTATTTAATATGGCCAAACGATAGCTTAAAATGGTTTTAGAAAGAGGAATTCAATTCATTTAATTTATTAACAAAAATAAGTAAAAAGAGGCATTTACCTATAGGTAAAATTAGTATCACTTCCGTATATTTTACGTTTGATCTAAAGGGAATAATATATACATACATTAATAGTACTCCAATATATTTGGTATAGATGTAAATGGAATATATCGGTCCACGCTTTGTAATAGCCTCCATGTAAACGTCCTGATCCATTTTCGAAGGTGGTTTGAATTTAGAATTTCGGATTTCCGGAGTAGTTCATGTATTGTTGTTTATGATATAATTAAGTGATATACTGTTAATTTTAACCTTGTGGAGTAGTCCATGTAAAGAAGTTTTTGGAATCGCTCATGGCCCTTTGGGCTAAGTTCTTGTTTATGAAATAAATTGAATTGAAAAAAATGTCAGTAGCAATTTTTCGGTATATACCCATTTTTTACACAGACCTCTTCCAAAGGTCCCACTTAATTTTTAAATGTCTTGTTATAAATCAACATATTAGCTGAATAGTCACAATTTTAGAAAGGTCCCTATCGATTCGAAGTACATTAAAAGGCATCAAAGTTCGCCGCGGACGAACTTAACCTCATATTTACTTGTTATGAGATAGACTTGTTACAATTTTGGCTACCTTTAATTAAATTTACCGTTAAATTATTGATCGATTGAATTTATTGCATATCATTAATTCTGTATAAATAATAACATCGAATAAATCCCGATCCATTTTCGGTATTTTAAGTTTTTAATCGCATTTCCAACCGAAGTGGTTCAAATTTAGAATTTCGGATTTCTGGTCAATAAAAATGTATTAATTTGCAGTATATGTATGCCCAATTTTTTACATTATTCTCTTGCAAAGGTACCGCTTAATGTTTAAATGTCTAGTTGTTAATTAACATCCTAGCTGACAATTTATAATTATAGAAAAGTCCCTAACGATTCAAATTATGAGTTATTTTTCTTTAATTGGTCGATTGATTTATTGTATATCTTTAATTCTGCACCAATAATAATATTATCAATAAGTATAAATCGGACATAATCAATATAACCATATAGTAGCTGTTTGTGTTATCATTTCACGTTGAATGCCACATTTCTCTTTGAGTACATAAGAAGAAGCATTGTTTTGTTTTCGTTTGGTTTTTTTTTGCACATTAATGCCATTATTCCAACGGTTGGCAGTGCGGGTTGTGTATTAGAGCTATTTTGTTGTAGTTTTTTGTTTAAACAAGTAAGAAATTAAGAGAAACAAAAAACAAAACTGGAGTTATGGATGATCAAAGTGAAAATTCCATGGATAAACAAATCGACGATAATGATGGCACCAAACCCGAAAAAATGTTCACCCTGAAAAAGTGGAATGCTGTGGCTATGTGGAGCTGGGATGTTGAATGTGATATTTGTGCTATTTGTCGCGTTCAAGTTATGGGTAAGTCGGTTTTTTTTTTGTTTATATTACTTCAAGTGCTAAACATGTAGATTCGGACATGTTAGAACATAATAGGAATAATAGAGTTGTGGACTCTGCAACTTGTTACATCCACCAACATTGGATTAGTCAATATTCGTTAAATGTAATTTTGTAAATGGAAGTTTTTACAATGATATCTGCAAAAAATCGTCCATTATTCCAAACTTACACTTTTAGTCGGCGACGCTTTCAATTTTCTAACCTCCATTCTAATTTTGCTGTTGATGTAACGGTTCCATGGCTTCCTTGTATTTTTGTTGAAGAAATGGAATTCTAAATGTGGAACACGACTAACTACCAGAATATTTTAAATGGACGGCCTTTCAATTGAAACATCTTTAAAATAGAAAATATTGAATGGGTGTATCACCAACGGATAGGGATTTAAGAATTTTACTACTTTTATAAGAAAGAAATCAACATGATGTCGCATCTCGTGTTACTTTATTACAAACCCCCCTTCAATAAGATTGAAGTTCGGTAATGGACTCTGATGATTATCTATCAATCTTTTCGAGATCGCGAACTGCTGTCTATGCAATCTTTAATTAAGTCCTTTGTGGGCATAATGTTGAAGGTCAGATAGCATTTATGATTTCATGGTAGTACCGTAAGTTACAGTGTATATTGAATGAGTTCGCAACATCTCGAGCTTTGCAAATCTGCAGTCCATATTTTAGGGGTCATACCTCCTATATACCGAACATATCGGTTTTTAGTATTTTGAAGGGTATGAACGAATTTCGCAACCGATGTCGCTTTAATTTGGCATTCCACACTTTTGGAATTAAAAAACTTCGACGGTAATGGGAATCTACACTAATTTAAGAATGTGAAATTTCATGTGAAAATCTCAACAACTCTTGAAGATATATTCGATTAATTGTGCTAGCATCAAACTTTAAACTCATTTTTATCCAAACAGCGTTTTTGCAAATGGCGGGCACAATAACTCAAAAGCTAATAATACGATCGATTCCAAATTTTAGGACGTTTCTCTGTGAGCGTGTATCTATCGTTTGAACGAGGGTAAATCCAATAACTTGGTTTGTGGTAAAAAATATGCGATTTTCCAAAAATATTTTTTCAAAGGTCCGCCATTTTGTTGATTTTTGATCGAAGTCAATAATCCTAGTTCATACGAGAGCCAGACATGTACTCATTCTAACACCCTTGGAATTTCCGGATTCCGATGTTCCAGTGAGGAGTTATCAAGCCCGCCATCAATAATAAGGACTTTTGTTTAATCCCATAAAACAATAACAAAAAAATTAGTAAATTATTTTTCTTTTCCTTTAAATCTTCCAATATATATATCTGCAAAGTTACAAACAAGCTTTGGTATTGATTTACTAGCCCAAGAAAATTTCAATTTAGGTCACTGTTTTGTATTTTAGGTATTTTAAAGGTTCACCTCATGGCGGAGTAAAAAATCATGCCGGTTGAAATTAACGAAGTTTTTATTGGGTAGATTTATAAGGAATTTGGGTAAGCCTATAGCAACGAGTTTTGGACCGGATCGACCTGTAATTCCCAACCATAAATCTAGAGTACAGTATAAACTTGATAATCCGAACCTCGACAATCCGGATTATTCGGTAATCCGGACTGCATTTCACAACCCATTGCGTATCCTATAATCCGGATTGATTGATCTATTTGACTCAAAAATCCGGATTTTTTATTTTAATAAAAAAATCGTTGCAAATTTAATTGAAAATGGTACCTATTATATTCAAAGTTCATATTTTTGAAATGAATAATTTTCATTTTTAATAAAAGCATAAAAATAATTAAATTATCACCAAATTAATATAAATTTAAACCAATTAATAAAACTCGATAATCCGGAAATCTCGGTAATCCGGATTGGGGTCTGCAATCAATTATCCGGATTAGCGAGTTTTTACTGTAGTTCATACTGAAACTGGGATAATTTGTGATAATTTAGAAATAATATTTTTATATCAATTCATAATTTATGTTTATGATTAATTTCGAAAATAATCTGCGTTAAGATTTCTGAAAGAAAATGTTTTTAAATGAAAAATTAATTCTGCTTAGAAATTTGTGTCAGTTGCTAAAGAAACATCTATACAAACAATATCTTCCCTTCAATCTAATTTGCAAACTTGCATCTGCCGCATGTTTAGTACAGCTATGCATATTTAATGACAATAAGTGGTTTGCTGATAAGAAACAAAATCTAGCATACGTCAATACCGTGAAAAATCAATATAAAAATGTAATTACGATGTAATTCTAATCAAACCAGTTCAATAAAAAAAACATCAACAATATTTACATAGTAAATATGTATAAAAAATTATATATGAATAATAACTATGTGCTATACTTACACAATGCTATTAATCTGACCCTTTCAAATAAAAAATGTTGTTGTTTACTGTTTCAGTTTATTTAAAACATTTAAAAAATAATTTATAATATAATTAAAATGGTATCTGTGTGTTGTTTATTGGTTTGTCTCCAAAATCTTTTCACATTAAAACATTTTATTATTATGTTTTTATTTTCTTAAACTTAACAATACATATTATTATAAGAAAAAAAAAAAGAGTTAGTTGATCATTTCTTATTATTTGTTTTTTGTTAATACAACAAATTATAATTAAAAAAATCTCTACGTTTACAGACTACAACTGCTCATCAAAATATCATATCATTGAAACCAATGATTATTAATACATGCATGCATACACAAACATATTCCTAAACAAATATGTAGGTACAGTGCGCGTATACGTTTTGTTTTTTTAGATAAATTATTTGAAATGTGTTAACATTAAAATACCAATTGTGTCATATTTAATAGCTTAATACAATAATAAAAATAATAATAATATTGACAATGAAAGCTAAGCTTTAAATACGATATGTTTTTTTCTTAGTTTTGCTAAAAAAGTTTCTTCAAAAAAACTAACTGCCTGTATATTTGATGGGCTTGATTGAGGATACTTTTGGGCCCACTAATCGTGGACTGGCTTACTACTTAAAAACTAATATTTGGTTTTTCTTTCTTTCCGTACAATAATTATTTCTCCTTCAAACGGGATCATATTATGAATGGCAAAGGTATATCGATTAGTATGGTGGTTGGAAGTCAAATGGTGCAGCGACAATTATGGCTTATTCTACTATACATCATGAGGATTTTTTATTCTAATTTTTGTTTGCATTTGTTATTGATATTCGTTTGCATCACATTATTCAGTTGGTTTACATGTTGAAAGACAATGGTTTGATATTGGCCACCGATGACATACGTCTGACACGTCCCATCATTTTACGTTCAATATCTTCCAGGGTCTTGCCTTGTGTTTCTGGCACATAGACGATAACAAAGAATAAGGCAATTACACAAACGACACCAAAGAGCCAAAATGCACCATGGCCACCAATGGATTCTGTAATAAAAAAATATAAATATATTTAAAATAATTGTATGAGTAAATCAAGGAAATATGTAATTTAAAAGAAGAAAAGTTTGGAACACAACCCACCAATCATATCGGGGAAAGTTTTGGTAACAATAAATGTACACGTCCAGTTAAATGCAGTGGCAACTGAAGCTGCTGAGCCACGAATTTTGGCTGGTAAAATTTCACCCATCATCAACCATGGTATGGGTCCAAAGCCCAATGAAAAGCCCAACACATATACCACAAAACTGGCCAATGGCAACCAACCCACATTTGATACATCCATTTCAGTGGCTTTGCAATAAAAGAAACCACCCAAAACGAATAGAGTAATGGTCATGGCCACCGAAGAAATATACAATAGGATCTGAAATATAAAGAAAATAATTAATTTTATACAACTAATAGAAGTTTTGGAATGACTTACCTTCCTGCCCAAACGATCAATCAACACAATGCCAATGAAGGTGGCGGCAAAATTCACAATACCCACAATAATGGTACAAATGTTACCATCAATAGTTGAACCAGCATCCTTGAAAATTTGCACCGTATAAAAGATGACCGCATTGATACCACTGAACTGTTGGAAGAACATCAGACCCAATGATATTGCCAATGGTTTCAAATTGTTGCGTTTCAACAGCTCCATCAATTGATTCTGTCTAGCCTGACGTTCATCATCGGCTTGAGAACGCAATAAACCCTTCAATTCTGGCTCAACATCAGCTTCCTTGCCACGCAACCATACCAACGCTTTGCGTGCCCTTTCCTCGCGATTACGTGAAACATACCAACGTGGTGTTTCGGGTATGACAAACATTAATATTAAAAATGGTACTGGTAATGCTCCACCAAGGAACGCCAACATTGACCAATCCATATAAGTACCAGCCACAAAACATAACAGTATACCAATATTACCAAATGCCGTTGGCAACAGACCCAATGTGCCACGTACTTCTGGTTGAATAGTTTCACCCAAATAGACTGGCAGAGATAGAGATGCTATACCGACACAGAAACCAGCTAAAGCACGGCCCGCCAAGACCATGGCAACATTTATGGCACAAGCAATCAAAAGCCATGATATTATAAAGGGTACAGCAATGGCGAGAATTGTATTACGTCGTCCCAAATATTCAATGAACGGTCCACCACAAATACCACCAGCAAGACCGGCTAAGGGCATTAGGCCACCAACCCAGGAAGCCTGAAAAGGGGAAATGGGAATAGTAAAAAATCAATTTAAAATTTTGTCATTTACAAATAAATGCGATGCGCTATTTTTTATTGGTTACAGTTTCCCTAATAAATTTGAATAATTGATTAGTTAATTAAATTTATCAGTTCCACAACCACCATAAAATATCAATTATCACACACTTTTTAATTACATTTTCCAGACAAAATTGTATTCACTCTGATTCACTAAATTTTTAATAACAAAAAAAAAATCACAACTTACCGTTTGTGGTGTTACTTCAAATGAGGTAATATTACGATCAGTCATAGAAACCAAGGCGGGTGAAGTGTAAGCCGATGAAAAGCCCACAACTAATGAGCCAAGTGAAACACTAAAGGCAGCCAACACCTGAAATAAAAAAGACAAAACAAATATTTTTTTAGTTCTTAAAAATTAAAAAAAATACAATAATTAATTCTTTTGTTAGGGAAATTAACCTGTGAAAATGTACACTTAGCAGCTGGTACATCATCCGGTAAATGGAACGACACATGGGTGTCGGCTCTCATTAATATTTTCATTTTCGTTTAAATATATTAAGTACTTGATGTGCCGGAAGAAAAAGGACATGAAACGATAACACCAAAAAATGATTTTTTCAAAAACGCGTAAACTATTTGCGTGTACGTTAGCTTTTCGAAAACAAAAACAAAATCCAAAAATACTACAAAACTGAAAGTAAGGTCACGCTTAAAAATTGGAATTCTTCCAAGTTGTTTGATCGCTCAAACAAAAAAAAAAAAAAACAATTTGTCCGGTTGTGTTTATGTGGAGACTCTAGTATTAGCCGTTGTAAATAGTTCGTTCGAAAGTTAAACAGGAACTGAACTGACTATTGTTCAGAATTTTATTTACAAAATCAATAAGATCTACTTTTGTACGACGTTTTGAAAAATTGAAATGCTTAAATAAATAATCCATTATTATGCGCTCTCCTCCTTCTCCAGTCGAACGAATGCAGTTGTCTCAATTTTTAGTCATAACTAATGTGACACAAACAATAATCAAAAATTGAGCGTAAACCGGAGAATAAGACTAGAATTTAAATTAGAATATTTGTTGAGTAAATCAAATCTATAAATGCTAATCAAATAAAAATCAATACATCACATTAGAGGTTGCCACATTTCGGTTTGGGGAAATGCGACCAAAATGTTTAAAAGGACAAACAAATGATTTTTTTATTTTAGACTCGAAGGATATCCGTACCAATTATAAGATTTTGGAAAATCATTATGAATCGGACTGAAGGAACAATATATAATCCGGTGACCTTCACTTCGTCTGAATACGCCTAGCAATTCTTTTCAGTACAGCTTCTAGTAAAAATGTAGTGTATATTAAAATTGTCATTCCATTTGCAAAGTTCTATGTAAATTTAGTCAGGTTTGTCTGTCTGTTTAAAATCACGATAGAACTCGAATTTTTTTGCTATTATTCCTTAAATGTTTGGTATTGGTAATGGTCGACGTTTTGGAATAGCCATCATATAACTATACTCCACAATATTTGGTATTTTGTGCAGGTTTTTCAATAGAAATGGCTCTAATTTCATATTTTTGGTTCTCATTGTATAGCTCCTACCAAAAATTATCAATATTGGTCCACTTTTTAATGGTACAAATATTACCATCAATAGTTGAACCAGCATCTTTGAAAATTTGCACCGTATAAAAGATTACTGCATTAATAATACTGAACTGTTGGAAGAACATCAGACCCAATGAAATTTCCAATGGTTTCAAATTGTTTAGGTTCTCCGAGTGTCCTAATAGAAATCAGCATTAGTACTTCGAGAACCAGTAAACACCCACACATTTATTTCCATTACAATGTTGGTCGAAAATGCCCAAAAATGGCAATGTTCTATTACAAGTTCCTTTATTTACAAATATTTCCCGCCCACCTCTCTCTCACACTATTTCTTTATAAATTATTTATCATCTTTCCTAATTGCATGCAGCTGTTACTGTAACTGCTGTGTTTAACAAACTAGATTGCTGATTGGATGTTTTGTGGCTCTCAGCAACTGTCAACCACCTCTAATCCCTGCTTTTTGTGTGAAAATTGTCTTTGTTTTCTTTAACTATTAAACATCACGCTGTGTTCGGATGCCTAATTGTAAAGTCCAAAGAAAATCAAAACAAAAAAATACAAAAATTTTAATACAAAAAGAGATAAGGTGTTGTACTACTACGCCACGACCACAACTGATGGCTGACTATTTTAAATAGTCAACAACAATAACATATTCAAAATATGATTTTGTTTTTGTATATAAATCTTCAGGCCAATGCATTCGTAATTGTTGCCTTTTTATTATTGTCTCTCCCCACACATTCCACATTAATTCGGTTGTTGTGCGGTTAGAAGCGGAAATTTCTATGTATGCTGTTTGTTCTTGTGAAAAGCTAAAGGATTTCTTTTTGGTTTTGATTTTGTTTTCTTTTTTCTTCAATGTTGTATCACTCAATTAAAATAACTGATATTGTTATTATTATTTGTTGCCAGCTGTACCAGACCACCACCAAATAAATGTAGATAACGCCACTCAAAAGTTCACACTGACACTGAAATTGTCTTCTCAGCGGAATCCTCATGTAAACCCCATCATCATTGCATCTTCCAGTCAGTAAGTCTGTCCAGCTGGAACCTTTGCTGTGTGTCTGATGCGAATTGAATGGTAATAATTCATCATCGTACGTAGTGATATTTATTACATTACTACCACCAGTTTATGACTTTGTTTGACAGGCGCCATAAAATGCATATCTATTCTTTTTTATTCAATTCGGGAAGATATGCATGTAAAGAAAGAGCTAACCGGCTATTCATTCCTTAATTGAATTAGAGGTCAATTAAATCAAAAGTAGTTTGTGTTGTGGCAAAGTGGGTGGGTGGGTATATTTTTGTGGCCGTGAATATTTTATTTATTTATTTATTTATTTTTTTATAGGAAACTATTAGAAAAATAAACTTAACTTAACGGATAAGTTTTTGTTTAGGTAATAATAAAAAATTGAATTTCTGGTGGGTGGGATAAAAGTAATTTTTTTAGTACTTTCCATAAATCTGTTTGTTATTCCTAATAATTACATAGTTTCCAATAGACTTGAGAATTTTTTAATATCGGAGATGGAAACTATGTGGTGATCCTCATAGCTTAAAAATTTTATCGTAAAATTACTAGAAAATTTGAAACTGACTAAACAATTTTCTAAACGAATATTTATAGATGTACGAGGGCTAATTTCATAATTCAAATTCGAATATTAATCATCAAAAATTTTGCTATTCTTTTTTTGTTAAATCATTTAAGACACACATCTTCTGTCTACGAAAAGTGGATTATTTTCTTGATATAGAGAACTAAAAAAGAAGAAACAGAATCCTATATTCATTTTTTATTTTATTTCAGATCGAGACTAATAATATCAAAATTTAATGGACGGACTAACATTCATTAGAGAGAGGCGGAAAGGCATATTTCTGAAAAAATTACAGTATATAAGATCGTGTACTGGAATACCGATCAAAAAATCAGGTTTATGGGACTGAGAAACCATAAAAAATGATGCATAATGTAAACTCATAGTTTCAAACCCTATGCATTTTTTGGCGATTGTATTTCTAAGCAACACAACCCATATGAAATAATCTCTATTTGTTTCCATGCATTTTACTATTACATTTATATGTGGGTCTAATGTACATTGTGTCGCTATGGCCAGAGACATCACGTGCCTCGAATACAGTTATTCATCAATTCAAAAGTCGAAGCGATAAGGAGGAGATTTCATCAGATTAATGGAAATGCATTTTCATTGGAATACACTGAACCCGATCAAAGGTCAGACACATGTACAAGGGGAATCTCTAATTAAATGTCTAGGGCCAATAAAAAAATTAGAAACTAAATTCAATATCTTACCTGAGTCCAAATAAAAATCGGATTTGTTGTTGGTCGATAAACTTCCAATTTGGGTTTACCATCTTCGGTGATTTGTCTAACAAATGGTACTGATTGGCGTAAATTTTCGCCCTTTTTACGGCCCATTTCATCCATTTCATAGAAACGTATACTGAAAGAACAGAATAATTTTTTGTCATTATTTAAAATTCATTGTAGTGAAATCTTTGATAGCTCACCTTTTCCTTGAATCTGTACTAATGGAACGTTGCTGTTGAAAATGTTGCCTCGACGACACGTAATCTTCTTCACTTTCACTTTCCAAATCTTTCAAATCGATAACCACTGGCTTTGTTATATCCTTGGGACGATATATCAAACGTTTGTGTTCCACATCATCGTTCTCTTCGTCGGTGTCTGTACTGGATCCTTGTAATACTTTTTCCAATTTAAACGAAACCCTTGGATCTAAACTTTGATGTTTGCGTCCTTGGAATTCACGACGATTTTTACGAAATTCCTCCTCCGATGAGGACTCTTTGAGTAGATCTTTTAGATATCGGGTTCCCTTCAAATCGAGTGATACATGTTTTTTTGATTGAAACTCGCGACGATTGTTGTCGTTGGCCAAAATCGTCTTCAAATCCTTAAGTATACCCCTGTGATCGACACTACTCACAGCCTTTTGTTGTTGAAATCCTGTACGACGCTCCTCGAAGCTATCGTCATCACTGCTCTCCTCGCCGCCCCGCTTCTCGAAAGACACCCGTGAACCTTTCAATGACGATTTACTACGTTGTAAATCTTCTGTGGACACCACACTGCGTGTGTGTTTATCACGATGCGAATGTGATGAGGGTGGTGGTGGTAGCGGCAATGGTAATGGTTCTTGAGTATTTTTCACCTTCGGATTGATGGGCAGAGGAGGTTCATTGATGTCATCTGCCTCGATGATGGGACCAAACTGTAGGGGAATTTCAGTCTCAAAACGTTGACGCTGTTGTTGTTGTAGTGTAGTGTGGACTGTTGGTCTGTTGTGTGCGGGAAATAGAAAAGGATCCTCGGGTAGAATCGTATCAAGACTTGTAGCGGTGTTTGATGTTGACAAAGTGGCTTCATCCAAATCGACACGCTGATAGGGTTGATCCTCCTATTTTAATAGGGTAATTGGCAAATGATTAAAATTGAATTATTTTTTTTACAGCGGCAGATTCAATTAAACTACCCTACTTGTTATTAAGCCGTCTTGTAATCTGTACTAAAGATTTTACATTTTCAGCTATTTATTAATTATTGAATTCAATTCAATAATGAAATAAATATTGCAAATTGATAAGATGATGGATGGATGCCGCATCAAACCCAACATGTTCGTTCGTTGTCGCTTTCATTTTGTAGAAAATTCTTTACAGATTTCATATTTTTTTAATTGATTTATAAAAAACCTCACAAGTATTGGTTGGTTGCAATTATGCACTTCATCATACTTGTTGACACATATATAAATATTTCAATCCTTTTTGTAAATCTCATTCTCTGACCATCAATAGTGTTGCGATTCTTATTGGGTTCATTGAATTTTAACGGCATTGGAAGAAGAAGAGGAATTATTCTTATCATCATTATTGACAATTTGTTATTATGTGACCGAATTTCTGAGTTCACATTTTTTTTTTTGTTTTGTATTTACGGAAATTTGAAAAACCAATTAAGCCTGTAATCAATGTCGTAACATCTTTAAGAGATTTATTAAAAACAAATTTGTATAAGAAGAAGAAAAATCACCTAACATATTAAACCATAACATGGATTGGGGAATACTTATAAGAGGAAAAGTAATGATGAATTAAAAATAGCGGTTATTTTTTATCACATCTCAACGGTTCATTATGGATCATACTTCGTATATTTTGTAGACTATCCTGATTTTTTATACCCTTCACTGTGATAAGATGAGTTCACAGGGTATTATGTCTTTTTGCATATGTTTGTAACAGGCAAAAGGAAACGAGATAGACACATGGATCCTTTTGAGAATATGCATAGAATCACTTTCTAAGTCGATTTATGCATGTCCGTACGTTCGTCTGTCTGTCCATGTTAAATTGTAAACAAAGTACAGGTCGCATTTGTGATCCGAATTGAATGAAATTTGGCACAGCTCATTCATTTGACCCAGAGACGAACCCTATTGAATTTGGGAAAAATCGGTTCAGATTTAGATGTAGCTCCCATATATATATTTTCGTCCGATTTTATGGTCATGGAACACCAAAGCCCCTTTATATCCTCCGATTTACACGAATTTTGGCCCAGCGTAATGAATTAAGACTAGAATGATGTGAGCCGATTGATATTTGTTAAATGATTTTGTGCAATTCTAAACAAACGACTCTATATCTGTCCTAATTAAAAAGTTCACATATTTTGCAGAATGGCATGTTTATCCAAAGTGGTGAAGGGTATCATATAGTCGGCGCTGTCCGACTTTACTACTTTCCTTACTGGTTTATAAATCAAGTTAAAAAGAAATTTTGGATTTGAATTTTGTTTTTTCTTTTGAGGAATATTATTGATAGAAAAAAAAATATATATATTTTTTTAGCCCTTTGTGGCCCAATGTTGCCCACAGGCAACAAAATGTTTTAGAGCTAATATTTAATATACTGCTAGTAGATATATATTCTTTAGATTACATACGTCAAGGCCTGATTATGGACGACACATATCACAAGAAAAATCTAAAAAATTCAAATTTTTGGTAAAGTTATGAGCTTTTTAATATGGAGAAGAGGGCAAAAATGTGTACAGTACTAATTTGTGTATACAGTCCAAATTATTTAACTCGCTTCGTATTTGAAATATACGAACTCTGCCGTCAGAATTATTTTTGATTCTTGTAAAACAGAATATAGAGAATAATTTAAAATTATTTTTTCATCGATTTTGCATTTGGTTTTCTTGATATTGGGCTTTTATTTTTCAGAAAGAATGTACTGTATCTCCCGAATGCAAGGATGTAGCGATGTCAAAATTTGTCCATATCCTGTCTAGGATAGTTGCATTAAATCTGTCAACTAAAAATTTGTCTATGATTACCGAAAAAAATTCGGGGCTCAAAGGGTTAAATCTGCAAATATTTATTTCTGAATTTATTGTTTTAAAAGACATGGTTTTTCGAAAACATTTTCAAAAAAATATTTTATAAATATATGTATATAAAATTTTTGAACAACAACTGTGAATTTTTAAAAAATTGTTAGACCTATCAGACCTATTACTAGTATTTTTAGTAAAAATTTCAAACTTTTAGTAACATTTAAATTTATATATATTTTTAAATTTTATGAATTTTAAATATTTTTTTTTTTAATTTTTCTATATTTGGAAATGTCGCTTGTTTTAATATGATATATATTAAATATCAATATTGTCAAACTTGAATTTGATTTTTTTGCCTCATATTCTCTTTCACAACAAATATGTGACTAATAAACTCATAACACCAGAAACATGCATAAATTACGATGTTTACATGAATACAACAAATATTTGTAATCTGTAACGAACAAACTAGTTTTATTTATCAATTAGCAATTAAAATTAAATTGGTTACTGATTGGTGATAGAGGAAATTGCTTTCATCAAAGGCCAAGGCCTTTACATATAAATAAAGTAAATAACACATTTTTTCATTAAAATTGTAATCAAAATTAATAGTCCTAAGCGACAACATGTTGTGTTTGATATGGCATCTTAATTTTTCTAAGAACTAATTTTTTTGTGAATAAAAATGTTAAAAATATACAATTTATTTCATACTCACCCTGGATAATCGATCCTTTATTTTGCCCATGGCATTTCCCAAGGGCTGATGCCCACTGCCACGATTATCTCTGCCACTCATTTTGTTTTTCCTCTGTTAAAGTCGGCTTCAATGTGCAATTCCGGTCAAATGTAAAAGTTGTCTCTTTATTTAATTTAAACTTCACTTGGTTGTATTGAAATGTTTATATATTTTCTTTAGTTTTTGTTTTGATTATTTTATTTCTTTGTATTTTAAATAACAACACCAGCAATAAAAATACGAAACGAAGACAACCACTGATTGATTCAAAATATGAACAATTTGTTTCAGAGTAATGGTTTTTGTCTCTGCTTAGCTAAGGGAATAAACAAAATAGAAGAGAATAAATAACAAATTTGAAATTAATTTTCTTATAAAGAGAACATTTTTAATTAAGAGAATATTTGTTTTGTTCTTTGCAATGGCGCAAAGAGTACATTTTACGAAGACGATGACATGTCTGGCAAATACCAGCAAACAAAAACAAAAATACATTAAACAAAAAATATACTGATTTAATTGTTATTATTTTTATTATGATTAATAAGACATTTGTTGTTTTTGCTGTTTTCCTTTTTTTTTGTAAAATTTTCGCCTACATTTGCAATATTTTCTGTCCATATGAGCAAAACAAACGAAACGTAGTTGTTAAATGTTTTCCTTAACCAATAAAAAAACACTATTCGTTTGGTTTTTAAAATTGCCTCCACAAAAACATTTTGAAAGTTGATTTGAAAATTTGTATATATTATTAAAACGATGTAAATTTTATTTTTATTAATATTTGAATGTTTTGTTCTTAATTGAGGATGTTCATTTTTATAATTTATTTAATAAAAAATGTTTTTAAGAATCTTATATGTATTTAATTTTTAAAATAAGTAATCTTATTGAACAATTTAAAATATAAAGGGCTATGATTTCAAATGAGTCCAAGAAGCCAGTTTTAATTAATATTTTTATTGTCTTATTTTTTATTTCCTATATATATTTTATAGACAATCTAGAATTTTGAGAAAATTTTTTTTTTATTGTGTTGAGAATTTCATACCCTAATTATTGTCAATAATTTTTTAAAGAATATTATATTGAAACACATTTCCAGAATATTAGAATACTTTTTCAATAAAAATCGGGGATTTGAGGGAAAAAGATTTTAATAAAAAATCGTAGATTTGTAAAATTAAAAATCGAGTTGATTTTCACAAAATAATAATAAAGAATATTATTCGAAGGACTTCCGGGCATAGTTTTTTTTTAGAATATTTTTCGAAGGGGAATCATTGACTTTTTTTATATAATTGTATAGTAAACAAGGAAGAACGACTTCAAGGTCGGCTGGGACATCTGAGAAGATGAAATACAAATACAGATGTATGGGGCATTTCCAAAAACACGGACCTTTACAATTTTTTACTGCCCGCAATGCGAAATTACATCCGTTTTGAAAATGAGGCTGGACCTTTATATACATGTTTCATCAACCCGGAATTTCAGAACCCGGAAATTTGACCATTATAAAAATGCGGTACCGTTAAAAAGAGACTATATCAAAACATAGACCTATATTTCGAAGAATTTTGTATCCACTAGCAACCACGAATGCCAAATAAAATTTACTTCGGCTGAAAAATACACCTACAACCATCAAAATATTCAAATTGTGTGAGAACTATATAAAGAGGCTATGTCTAAACATGGACATATTGAAAAACTTTTGCAAATACATTTTATACCCTTCAAGTACCCGATATGCCAAATATGGAAATAAGGGGACGGAAGTTTCCAAAATACTGAAAATTGGTAGGAAGGTCGAAGCAGTTTTGCAACCTCCAAATGGGACTTGAGTGTTATTTTGGTTATAAACCTAAACCGGCTTTAATCCTCCAATGCCAAATCTCAGTCACTACGATTGGAAAACAAGCATAGTATCATCACAATTATTGAACATTTTCTGGAAGAACCTGAAATTCTAAATTAAAGTCCAAATAAAAAATAATTCAAAATTATAAAAATTACATCGGTACCGTGATATGAGGGATATACAAAAACATTAGCTTATATTTCCTATTTTCAATACCAAAACATCCTAGCAGTAGCAGCAACTTATGTTCAAAATATCAAATCTTCATACAAAATATTACCAGACTTTTCGATATTTCAAAGGATGGACAATGTTACATCGGACATCGGTATAGTATTTTATTGAGATCCAGAGTATATATTCTTTATAGGGCCTCCAATTGATATTTCGAGGTATTGCAGAAGCACTGGCATACAAAATCGTAGCCCAAATGGTATAGTTTGGTATACATTTTTGGAATAAAAATATTTTCAAATTTTTTTTATATAATTTTGAAAATTTTGGCTCTTAATTCGAAATTTTAAATAATGCTATAGATACGTTTCTGACTTTAAGGTTCTAAAAATGACAGAGGATCTAAAAATCAATCGACATCTTACTTGTCAATATCACTGTTTTTTTTTGTAATATATGTATATTTTTGTGAATATATATTATTCGATCCAGACGAATGAGAAACATCTTTTTGTTATTGTTATTATTATTTGTTTTTGTTTGCTTTAAAGTCATGGTGTCATCGCCTGCGCCATTGTCTTTGTAAACAATTTAGTTTTATTAGCTAAATACTGTACGATATTTGCAGTTCACTTTTGTTTTTTTTTTGTTTTGCACACAAAACAAAAAAATTCTTTTACACGGCATTTTAGAATAAGTTTGAAAATAAGAAAAGATTTTAAACGACCGAAAAAACACATTGATTTGTCACATTTGTTGTTACATTCTATTTTCGTATACAATTTGAATTGGTTGCAACAATTCACGGTCTTGTCAGACGATCTGCAGTTGTAGTTTTTTTTTCACTATCACGTTTAGAAAGTCACAATTCGAAACAGTTTTTCTTTTTCATTTAGTTGTTGCTGTTGTTTTTCCGAAAACAATTTATTTTCTTTTCGATATTTTTTTTTATGGCATCGTGCCCTTGGCGCAAATTTTCGCCAACCAAACGTGAATGTGTCTAGAAAACCTCAAATAAATTGAAAAAAAAAAAGAATTTTCAATTTCATTACAAACGTCTATTTGTAGTTTTTTTATTCTGTTTTTGCGTTGCTTGCCTCTTGTTACGTAAATGCATTATTTTTTTCTTCATAGGAATATAAAAAATAAATATTTAACCGCATATTTTTCATACACCTTTTTATAATTTGTTTAGTTGTAATTTATTTGTTTTATTGCCTCACTTTATTGTGGGGTGCTGTTAATTTTTGTGTAGTAGTTAAATGCCGACCAACACCGTTAATTTATTTTTATTATTATTCGTAAAATATTGAGTTAGTTCGATTTATAATCAATCGCCAAGCATATTACGTTAATTTTTTAAAAAATCTGAACCAGATTTTCCGAACGGAATTAACATATTTATAATTTCCAAACGTCACATCGATCGCAGAAAGTGTTTAGGGCACGGCATAGAGGTTGGGTTTGGTTGTGGAATTGTAAGTCAAAGTGATTTTGCATTTTTTTTTTTGTGCTGCGGAACTTGAAATATTTGAAAAAATTCACGTTTTATTTGAACTCAGCAGTCAGCCGACTTTTTGTCTTGCCATATTATTTATTATTGTTGTTGTAATATTGAAATTCTGAAATTGTCACTGTTTAATAGTTATTATTTTTTTTGTATTAATTTTTTAAATATTTCTAATTTTTATTGAAATATTAGTTTTTTTTTCTATATTATAAAACAATTGAATGTCACAAATTTGTTTCACATTTTCCTTAGCACCAAATATTTGCACATTAGCTTTAACTGTTTACTACCGTTTGTTTTTTGTTTATCTAACTATTTATTATTCTTTATTTTATTTTTTTTTTTTCAAATTTTTATCTAAATTTGCGTTAATATTTTTTATCTTATATTTATTGGTAGTTTAATTTTATGCCTTTTGTGGCCAACACCACACTGCCTGTCTGCCAGTATCTTTTTTGACATTTACCTTTTTATTTTGTTTATCACTTATATCCAAACGGGAAACTAAAGCCAGAGACATGAATGTCAGTTGTTTATATAGTGAACGGTAGACGCGTCCGTCTCCGCCTCCTCCTTCTCACGAAAAATCAACAGCCGAACTCGATTTCTTGTAATTTACTCAGTCAACTACTCATTTACACAATCAAGAGAACAACAAACCCACAGAGCGGTACACCATTACCATTACAAAAAATATTGTACAAAACTTTTTTTTGTTAGTTGGAGATCTTCTCTCTTTGGTTCGTTAATGTGTGTATGTGTGTGTTTGCTAAATTACCAGAAAAATGCATTTCTTACATAGGGTTACCGTTACAGGGGTATTTGTAATAGAGGAGGGGTATAACTGTTGAACACTGGCAATGATGATTCCTCTGTGGCTATGACATTGAAACCAAAGACAAATCATGCCTATTGAAACGTCCAGAAGAGCCATAACTCAAAAAGCCACGTCAAGTTCGGTCAAATGTGAAGGAGCATCGAAAATGTGGAGCATCATTAATTTTTTTCTAAATGATTGTACGGTCAATGAGGAAGACTACCATGAAGTAATGTGCCGTATGAGTGCAGCAATTTGTCAGAAACGTACAGTTGGAACCCGTCTCGGATTTTGCACCAAGATAACGCACCAGCTCGCACTTAAATGCAAGTGCGTGACTCTTTGTCTCTTCTTTCCAAAATTGGAATATATACGCATATGTTTCCTAAACTAAACGCCAATCGGGTCTTCGAAACGAGCCGAACCCAACGAAAGTTTTTGTGGAAGAAGCAGTTGGAAGTAGTTCACGTGTGTCTTCGGCAGAAATTTCGTCTTTACTGCTTATAGGCAAGTCAATTCTGATATGTTCGGCTGAAAGATAAAATAAAAAAACCGAACAAGTGAAGAAGAAACGAATTATTATAATGCGAGTTTTCGCACACCGATCTTCAAAAACTTGAAATTGATGCATCATCTGTGACACTTGGGGCCGAATGACATATTTTTCCTCTCATATCAAGAAACAATGACATAAC